TAATTAATATTATTAAAGTTTTAAAATAATAGTTTTCTATTTTAATATATTTTAAAATGTAATTGTACATGTGTTCTGCATATTATTATAGTGGAAATTGTGATACTTTTTTAAAAGATATTTTGATGAATAAAAAGTCGAAAAGAACAAAATTTTTTCGAAATAATAGAATTTTTTGTAACATTATTACTCTTCTTAGTGTCACTTTTCATCAATATAACACTTCGTTACTGAATAAAAGTATTAATTTCTTTTAAAAAAATCTTCCTGATCCCAAACTTTTGAAAGGTGCCGTATATAGACACATATATCTACAGTAAACTATAATTACCTTCTGCACAATGATGAAGCCAACTTCAAAATGTACAATTTGTCTCCTCTCACAGAAAATGGAGAGGTGAATAAGTTTTGAATCCCGACCCGACATGGTCATTGAAACTTAAACTACAGCATCTTGTTCCTCAAACGTTTGAACTTGAACTTTTTCTCCATTTTCTTTGGAAGGCTGAACCACATCCTCTATTTCAATAACCTCCACTACAAGGTCACGGATCTCCTTCACACAGTCCAGGGGCCTGGTTTCATCCTCTAGGTTTGGTGACGACTGGGATTCTGAGGCTTTTTCTGAAAGATCCATGATATGTTTGCCTGTGAACTCTTTGTAGATATCTCCATCTTTTGCATCTTCAATAGATAAACATACTGCGATCGGATATGTGCTTTCATCACATGTTGGTGAATTCATTTGGGCTTGATCATTTGACATCTTTATCGTTTCTTTCCTGTGATCCTCAGTTTCAGCAGGCTCATCATCAGAACCAGAGGTTTTCATACAGATTGGGTTGATTACTACTGTGGGTTTATAAGCAAAGTCTGAAGAAGTTGCATCAACTCCTTTTGGTGAATCACTAGTACCAGCACTTTCTACAGCTTCTGTTTCCTTAACTAAAGGGGTGGAACAGACCGAAGCTTCCATGGCGTCTGTGGTGAGTTCTGGTTTAGTCTCAGCTGATGTATCCGAGGTTGATGTTTCAGCAGTGAAAAATACGTCATCACTGCTCTCCTCTAAGAGTGTCCTTTCTCCTTCATCGATTTTTTCCATGATAGTCAGAGCTTGACCCTTTGCACTATTTTCTGACAAGTGAACAGTCACGGATTTGTCTGCTGTCAGGCCGTTGCCCAGCAGCGGGGAGGGCGGCAGGGGCGTGCGCAGGCTTGGGGATGTATTTAAGCGTGCTGGGCTGCTGGGTGCGGATCCTGGGGGTGTGAAGGATAAGCTGGACACACTGAAATTGTACCTGCTCTCTGTGAACAGGTTGAATTTCTTCTTGCTGGCTGCCTCCTTGACCACTGCCAATCAGAAGCACAAATCAGATTTGAGAATGTTGTTTTAGGGAAATCTTAAAGCTAATTCTAATAATAATATATAGTAATAATTTCTAGTGTCCTATGAAATCCATTTTATTTTTTCTCAGATTCCATTTTTTCTGTTTAGTTTTTTCTGGATTCCGTTTTTTTTTCTTCTAGACTCTTTTAATGGTAAAATTAAATTTAATCAATTCAGTTGTATTTTTTTTCCAAGTTCCGTTTTTCCATTTGAATTTTTCTAGACTCTTTTTTTTAATGGTTTAATTTTATTTAAAAAAGCATGTCTAATTAATTGAAATAATGAAGCTTACAATATCAAACAGCAATTTATTAAAAGCCCTATGAAATGTTTTCCTTTTTTTTCTCCAATTCAGTTTTATTTTTTACCAAATTGTTTTCCATTAATTTTCTGGATTCCATTTTAATGGTTTCATTAGATATGAATAATCAAAAGCATCTCTGATAAAAAAATGTTTTTTAATGTTATTAAAATGTATTTTTAATTCAAAAATGTAATTAAGCAAAGCTGAATTTTCAGCAGCCATTATTCAAGAAACATTTCTTATTATTATCTTATTATATGTTGGAAACAGTATTTTTGGGAAAACTTTCATCCATTTTTTTCGGGATATTTTGATTAATAGAAAGTTCAAAAGAACAGCATTTATCTGAAATAGAAATCTTTTTGTAACAATGTAATAGTCTTTACTGTCACTTTTGATCCATTTAATGCTTCCTTGCTGAATAAAAGTATTAATTTCTTATAGACCCAAAATATTTGAACATTTGTTCTGTCTTTAAAAATATAATTTGGTTTGATATTTTGTTATAATACCAAGACATCTATACATGTTTATTTCTAAAACATTTTGCGGCCACTGTACGTGAATGTGCTAACATCATAATTGTTCTAAAATTGAATTGAATTTATTTTTAATTCAGTGATTTATACCTACTGTAATAATGACCCTAATATCAATAACATCTTTGCAAAAGCAGTGTGCAGAGACCTTGCTGTGATCATGTGACATACCCATGCTGACGTCTTTTTCCAGTATCTCCTGGATAATGTCCTCGTACACGTTTTCCACATTAATGAAGTTTGTATAATCAGCAAATATGTATTGCTCAAATTTGGGTAGTTCCTAAAAGTACATTTTGAGAAAAGACACATTTATTAGAAGATATAAACCATCAATGGTAAATATATGAAATCTTTCACTTCTTGTATTTACGTAGCTGTTTGTCTATCATTATGCAACTAATCTCAAATGTACCTCTATAAAGGATGGGGCCAGGTGCTTCTTGATGCTGGGTAGAGTGATGTTGATCAAAGCCTCCTGCAAGATCCTCTTCCTCACTGTGCTGCTGTCATAATCAAATATATTTTGATTTGAAACCCCATAACATTTTCCTGAGATGTCGATTTATGACCGAAAAATTAAAAATTAGACAGATTTAAATGATACTTACAAAATATTATCATATTTCCATAAGAGTGTCAAATATCAGACAACATCCAAACATTTAGTATCTCTGAAAAGCCCTGAATGTGCTCTGAACAGGACATCCAGACTTAAAACTGTGGCATGTATAGTCTCAGAGAAAGACACCAAAATATAATGTCCTCATATGAGGTCACAGGGTCTCAGGAGGTTAACAAATGGGCACAAGGGGATTTTTAGTGGATGTTCACTACCATTCAAAAGTTTGAGGTCTGTGTCATTTTTTAAAAGTTTTTGAAAGAAGTCTTATGCTTATCAAGGCTGCATTTATTTGATAAAAATTTTGAAATACCATTACCATTTAAAATACATGTAACTGTTTTCTGTTTGAATATAATTTTAAATGTAATTTATTCCTGTGATGGCAAAGCTGAATTTTC